TTTTTTTTTTCATTTAATGGAGTTGTCATGGGATTCTTTTCAGATATATGTTGTCCGAATTTTGAGAGAAGGACAGTTTGAACCATCATTTGTGTTCCGGACATTTGATGAATTTCAGGAACTTCACAACAAGCTCAGCATTATTTTTCCACTTTGGAAATTACCTGGGTATGTTCCCACCTTTGTTCAAGTACGTCGTTGTAGGGAACAATTTATTCTCAAATGTAGGTACAAAGCATAATGTTAACACTTAACACTTGGATGATGGCCTGGCTTATTTTCCTTTGTCTCACAAGGGCCTAACACAGAACTAGTCATAGAAAAGGTTTCTTTCTTTTTCTTCTTCTTTTGTTGTTGTTTTGGTTGGGTTTGGCGGTTTTTTTGGAGACAGGGTCTTATTATGTACTTCAAATTGGCTTTGTGTTTACTATGTAGCCAGGCTGGACTTCTCCTGCCTCAGCCTCTCAAGTGCTGGGATTATAGGTGTATACCATTATGCCAGCCTGTAAGTTTCTTTTGAATGAATAAATAAGGAGTATGACGAATTTGAGTCTCCTAATTTTAGTTTAAGTTTTGACTTTGTTGTCTTTATACCACAGTAGGAAACACAAAATAATTTGTAATCTTAGTTTCAAAAAAACTACATGCTGGACTGGGCAGATAACTCAGAGGCATAAACACTTACCTGGCAAGTACAAGGTCCCAAGTTTGATCCCAGACCCACATATCCTACTACCCCTGGAACCCTAGTTGTGGTGGCACACACCTGTCATGCCAGCGCTCTGGGAGGTTGAGACAGGAGGATCACTAAGAGTTTGAGATCAGCTTGGGGGCTACAAAGGTGAGCACAAGGCCAGCCCAAATTGCATAGTGAGACCATCTCACAAAAAAGAAAAAAAAATGTCATGATAAATCACTACCAAAATTATCTTGTATGGGCCATACCAAGCTCTTCTATTATATAAGTTGAAGTAGACAGCGCCAAAATGATTAATGAAAATCTCAGTGGTTAGAACTGGGGAGATAAGGTGGCGACCTAGCACGGCGGTGTCCGCGCCGGGCTCTGGAGCACGAGGTCGCTGGTTCGCGCCCCCGTCCGGACTCTTTCTCTTGGGGCCGGGAGATGGCTCAGTGGAATAAGCGCTTCCCTGGCAAGTGCAAGGGCCTGAGTTCAATCCCCAGTTCCGCAAAAAAAAAAAAAAGAACTGGGAACTGGGCAGATAGCTTAGTGGCTTAAGTGGCAAGCCTAAATCCAATCCCTGGTACCAAAAAGAAAGAAAGAAAATCTTAGCTGTTAGTTTTGTATTTGATACCCTTTAAAAACTTTACACAGTTTAGGGGCCAGGGAGATAGCTCAGTGGAATAAGTGCTTGCCTGGCAAGCACAGGGACCTGAGTTCAATCCCTGGTTCTGCAAAAAACCCAAAAAACCCCACAACTTTACGCAGCTTAATGAACAGTAGATGTTTTGTGTCAAACTGCCCAAATTCTTTGTACTAAATTTCAAAAGTAAAAAGACACTTTTGGTACAAGATATAGTTGCCTGCAATCCCAGGATAGTGGGAGGCTAAGGAAGGAGAATTTCAAATTCAAGCCCACCCTGGTTAACTGAATGAAGACCTGTTTCAAAATAAAAAGTCGGAGAGGTAGTTCAATACAGAGAACCTAAGCTCAATCCTGAGTACCACAGTACTGCTCCCCCCACAAAAAAAAAGATGAGTAGGCAAAACAGGTATTAAATTTTATTTTATTTTTGTTATGTTATGTTATGTTATGTTATGTTATGTTATGTTATGTTATGTTATGTCATTGTATGGAACTGGGGATTGAACTCAGGCCCTTGCACTTGCCAGGGAAGCGCTTATTCCACTGAGCCGTCTCCCCGGCCCTCTAAATTTTATTTTTCATGTATAGTCTTTCATCTTTAGAACACCACCAAAGGGCCGGGGAGATGGCTCAGTGGAATAAGCGCTTCCCTGGCAAGCGCAAGGGCCTCAGTTCAATCCCTGGTTCCAGAAAAAAAAAAAAAAAAAAAAACACCAAAATAAGTACAATTGTGATTATCCTTTTAGTATCTGAGTTCTTGGGTCATCTGGATTTTAATGGTATCTACAATAGCTTCTAGCTGATTGATCCTGTTAGAAATCAGATCTAATGGAATGTTTATGAATGACTGAAGATGGGAAGAAGCAATAGAAAATAAATAATAAATACAGGAAACTAGCAACACATGCAGCTTTGACTCATACAACATCTATGCCTCATAAATAGGAAGTAGGTAGTTGAACTATTTAATCTCTAGTTCTTTTTTTTTTTTTTGCGGGACCAGGGATTGAACTCAGACCCTTATTCTACTGAGCCAGTGCCCTGGCCCTTACTCTCTAGTTCTTTGGAAGTAAATTACAGAATAATTACTTTATAGTTGATGAAGACTTTAATCTTCAAATATGTAAAAGGATATCTTTAATAGTACGTATTAATTATTATATAATTATTTCCAAATGAAATAAATTCCAATTGTTTTTTTTTTCTTTTATAGCTTTCCTAATAGGATGGTTCTAGGAAGAACACACATAAAAGATGTAGCAGCTAAGAGAAAAGTTGAGTTAAACAGTTACTTACAGAGTCTGATGCGAGCTTCAACAGAAGTAGCAGAGGTGACTTTCCTGTTAAAAGCTAATACATACTGTACCTGTTGTACCTTATAGTAATAAACTAATGGAGCTTTTTTCTCTTCAATCATAGTGTGACCTTGTTTGTACTTTTTTCCACCCTTTACTTCGTGATGAAAAAGCTGAAGGAATAGCAAGGTCTGAAGGTAAGATGACTTTTTTGTCTTTGTGGATAATTTATATCTTGTCATTAGCTTTCAGTTAATGGGTTAACATGGCAGTGAGCTTACTGACTCTAGCCAATGAGAATAGGAGGAAAATATTCTATTTAAACCAATCTATTTCTGGATAAACTTTTCTAAAAATTAAAGTGTGATTATTGAAAAAGTATCAACCAGTCACCTACCAGTTTCTTTGATTCTCCCACCCGACATAAGTGATCCTGGAAGAAAAGCCAAATTCTTTAGTTAAAATTTGAACTGCTATATGCAGAATAAAATAAAGAGAAATGTGTTCCTATTTTTCAGGTGCAGGTCCCTTCAGTCCTACTCCAGGCCAAGTAGGAGGAGCAGTGAAGTTATCTGTCTCTTACCGCAATGGTACACTCTTCATCATGGTGATGCACATCAAGGATCTTGTGAGTGATTACAGATAATGTTGATGGTAAAGGAAAACTGCACCCTGGTGGGAAGCACTACTGTAAAGGGACTGCTTTTCTTTATAGGTCACTGAAGATGGGGCTGACCCAAATCCATATGTCAAAACATACCTTCTTCCAGATACCCACAAAATATCCAAACGTAAAACAAAAATTTCACGAAAAACTAGGAATCCAACGTTCAATGAAATGGTAAGTTAAAATCATTTCTAGAAATTTCTAAATTTAAGACTTTTAACTTTTTTTTTCCTTGTAATGGGGATTGAACTCAGGACCCTGCATTTGCCAGGCAAGCGCTTATTCTACTGAGCTATCTCCCAAAAGTTCAGAAGTTGTTTTGTTTTTTTTTTTTCACCTGGTCAGGATGCCATAAGGGCAGGTCTAGTAAGGCAAGAGGATCTGGGGATCAAATCACAGAATCCTGAGCCTGATTGCTTTGCTTAAGAAGGGAATTAAACAGGTGAGCTAAGCGGTAGGCCCCCAAGACTTTTAACTTTAAAACTTTAATAAACTTTTATTAAGCACTGTAAATTTCTTTTCATCAGCATTAACAGAATGGACCAAATTCCATCACAAAACAACTCCTGAGACATTCTCATTTCTTTCTGAAACATTTCAATTAACTCTTGCAGTTTCCACAAAGAAGCATCCATTCAAATTTAGAGCTTTTGTTGTGAGGTAGGCAAAAAAGGCAGGAAATTTGGAATCTGCGAGTGGGAAAGAAAAATATATATTATCCATCTATTAAACACACTGTCAAGAACACAGGAGAACTGGGTGTGGAGGCACATGCCTGAATTCCCAGCCCTCAGGAGGCTGAGGCAAGAAGATTATTGTGAGTTCAAGACCAGCTTGTGCTACAAAGTGAGCTCCAGGCCCGCCTAAACTGCATAGCGAGACCCTGTCTCAAAAATCAAAACAAAACAAAAAACATTAAGAGGCCAGCCTTGATGACAACACACCTATGATCCCAAAACTCAGGAAGCTGAGGCAGAAGGATTTCCTCAAGTTCAAGGACAGCCTGGACTACATAGGCCTTGTCTCAAAAGACCAAAAGAGGGGGCCAGTGAGATAGCTCAGCAGACTAAAGTTTGCCTCCTTAGGCAAAAACAGGGATGGTTTGATCCTCAGCACCACATGCCCTGTCAGCCCCACCCCCAGGGCAGTCTGAGCCTGCCAGAGCCTGGGCGTAGTGGCACACACCTGTAATCCCAGTGCTGGGGAGGCTGCAAGCAGGAGGATCACCACGAGTCCAAGCTGCATAGCGAGGCCCTATAACAACCAAATACATTTTAAAAAAGATATTAAGGCCAGATGTGGTGGCCCATGCCTGTAATCTCAGTATTTGGGAGAATGAGGCAGGAGAATCACAAGACCAGCTTGGATTACACAGGCTACCCACTGCAGGGTGGATGTAGCACTCCCTCCCTCAATCCCAGCAGAAGACAATAAACCAGTCACAAGCTCTAGATTCTGCTGCCTCTGAAAAGCACCACCCCCATGAGCGCATGAGGTTTTGGGAAGGCTTCCAGACACAAACCATGACGCCCAAAAAGAACAGAAAAGATGAAATGTCTACAGGGTTTTTTTTTTAAGTTATTTTAGCCAAACAACAAAAAGAATTAGATTAATAAGGTGTTTCTCAGAAATTATAGTAAGACTTCCTAGGGGAAAAAAAAAAGGAGCTGTGATGAGAATTTAAAATAGAATAGCGGGGCTGGAGAGATGGCTCAGTGGTCTAAAGCACCTACTTGAAACAAGCTTGGCAAAGCACAGGGACCTCGGTTCGATCCTCCAGCACCACATGCCAGCCAGCCCCGCCCCCTGGTGGACTGAGCTGGCCACACACACAATAAATAAATGTAATAAATAAAAATAAATTAAAATAAAATAAAAAAAAATAAAATGTGTAAGATCACCCTGGGTAATTAAAAAAAAAAAAAAAATAGAATAGCTTTGCAGCACTCGAGATTTGTTGCAAACTACATTTTTACTAAAGAGTTTCAATTGAATGATGGATAATCAGAAATCATTTCATGGTGTACAAAATCCAAAACAAGCAGCAAAAAGAAATTTTAATCCCTTTGTAGTTGCAAATTAATTGTTATGGCTGACTTGCCTCCTCTTTCCCAGCTGTTAGCTCATTCTAAGTAACTGCCAGGTAGTGTTTGCTTCCCTTCCCCATAGCCCCCATCTCAGAAAAAAAAAACAAAATACTTTTCAAGTTTTTAATTTTTAGCCAATGATTGGTCCTGCTTTGTACATCTGTATGTAAAGCATTCGCAAGAATGCTAACACAAGACTCCTGAAAACTTGCTTCCAAAGGAGTGACAGAGCCCTTAGTGCTTATTGTAATAAATGTTGTTCATTATATCATTCTGGGTCTGCTAATCTCACTTTGTTGCACTGAATATATTCCAGCAAATCAAACAATAAATGATAATGTAATGGGGGTTTTCTTCTCTTTCTTTTTTTTCTTTCTCCTTTGTTGCAGCTTGTATACAGTGGATATAGCAAAGAAACCCTAAGACAGAGGAAACTGCAGCTAAGCGTACTCAGTGCAGAATCTCTGCGAGAGAACTTTTTCTTGGGTGGAATAACCCTGCCTTTGAAAGATTTCAACTTGAGCAAAGAGACAGTTAAGTGGTATCAACTGACTGCAGCTACTTATTTGTAAACCAGTCATTTTCTGAGCTTTGAAAGCAAAAAGTTATAAAAGTGTGCACACATGCATGGACACACACAATTTGTGAACTTTGTATAGTATTTTTATACTTGGGCAGAATTTATATAGTTAAATATATTTGCTGCATTTCAATACATCTGTTGGACCAACAGTCACACAACTTTTCTAAATTTTGGGAAGCCATTGACATTTTAAAATCATTATATTGAATGCTATAAACCCTAAACTTAATATATAAGTGCTGAAAAAGAATTTGAGATAGGACTATATCAGTTCAGCCACCTATTTTGGATTGTTTCTTATACAGACATAGCATTTTTGTTTTCCTGTTAAGCACCTTTTACAACCTTGACCACTGTGTATGTTCACAACTACCAAAGTAAAAGAAAAATGCAAAATGATACCATAAAACACAGCTGCTATTCACTGGGATAAAAAGCAAAGCACAAACAGTAGATAACTATATTAAGAACTACTAAGTAGTTAATAGAAGTAGGAGAAAATACTGGTTTTGTATTGATTATTAAAAACCTTTTTCAGAATAAGTGCCAATCATTCAAGTTGTAAATAATAGTGCCTTAATTAACTTGATATGCTTCCTTGGCACTTCATATCTGATATTTTTTTTCTGACTTGATAACAATAAGTAGTTGTCTTTCACTTTCAGCTTACTAGGATAAAGATTATGTTCATTTACTAATTTTTCCTCTACAAAAAATTATTTTCTCCTCTTCTCATGTTATTTTAACATGAAGCTGTTTAAGGTGTTTTTTTTTTTTCCCCGCATAACTGAATGCAGTTTACTGAGTCATTGCATACAATTCTATCATTCCATTATACTACATTTATTCCCAGGGTGTGAGTTGAAATTGGGTAATTTCACTTCCATATATTTATACATTATTCCCTCATTAAACAAGTGAAAATTGTTAACCCCGGTACCCATTCCTGCTTGCTATAAGAACTCCCAAGAATAGAGAAGACTCTTTAGAACTTTCAGTGATACAAATAGCCCACTGCAGCACCTGTGCCATAAGTTCGTCATCACTGGCCTATTTGGTCCAGACTGATTTTGGATGAAGGGGATGATTGGGGATGGAACTCAGGTTTTTTGCACTGAGCTACATGCCCAACAGCCACGACTCCTGGTGGTTTTGTATCTTGAATCAACAACTTGCTAAAGTGCCCAGGTGGGGCTTGAACTTGGGATATTCCTGTCTGACCCCCCCAAAGTGCTGAGATTATAGGCATATAGTACCATGCTCAGTTCAAACTGAATTTTAATATAAACTTCTTTATTAGACCTTTATATTAAAATGATATTCATATAGACCTTATGGAAGATTGTCTTTTAAACTGTCTTGTACATTCATGTGAATTTTTTTCCTTAATTCAGTAAGATTCAGAGGATTAAAATACATAAGATTGGTTTTTATTACTTACTCAATTTTTGGTATAACTTTAAATAAATTTGTGTATACACACACACATTAACCTTCATGGCTAGAATAGGAATTCAAGTACTTTTGAAAACAATAACACAAATGTCGCAATCTGGTTTTTGCAAAAAAACTGAAAAAAATATGCAATGAAGGATATCATGAGAGAAAAAGGACAGTCTCCAGTTCCATTGACCAGAAGAGAATTCGTATGAACTGTGCAGATGTTTAATACAAATGATACCTGCAGAACAAAAATAAAAGACTTGGGGATATGTCTGTGTAACAGGTTTTAAACAAACTTGAAATTTTTGGTGCCTAACACTAAATGGTCCATTTGTAGGAAAACTCGTAATTATGATGTATGAATGTCATTTTTATGTTTAAATGTGTTGTCTATTTAATAAGTTAATTAAAATGCAGATTACAGCACCACTGTTTGCTTTTTCCACACTTAATTTTTCCTCAGTGTATGTAAGTAGCTTTGCAAATGTAAAATTAGCTCTAGAAAATGTCACATAAGCTTTTGAGATCTGATTCCATTCCATTGAGTTGTTAGGCATTGTTAAAAACAGGTGTCTTGTTAAAAGTCATTGTTAATTGTACTCACATGGGCTGCATTTTGGCAGTCTTTTATAGCAGTGTCTTATCACATATAATAGAGCTAGAAAACGTGCTTTCACTTTTCAGTTATAAGAAGTCTAGATTCATATCTAACAGTGTATATTTAGTACTGTATAGTTAACAAGAACTCAAAAATAATGGTCACTTTTTCTCAGTTTAACTCCTTCGTGCCTTCTTTGGCCACTAAAACAAATATTTTAATATGTTATTTATTTGTGAAATGCTAATCTTCATCCCTTACCAAAAGACAAAAAAGAAGGGGAGCCTCTTTGCACTAGTACTACGATGAATCAATTCTAAATCAGTTGAGGGGCTGGAGAGATGGCTTAGTGGTCTAAAGCACCTACTTGGAACAAGCTTGGCAAAGCACAGGGACCGCGGTTCAGACCCCCAGCACCACATGCCAGCCAGCCCCGCCCCCTGGTGGGCTGAGCTGGCCACACATACACACACACACTAAATGTTAAAAATAAATAAATAAAGTTAAAAAAAAAAAAGAATACTTTTTAAAAAAAAAATAAAAAAAATAAATCAGTTGAATTTTTAAACATTTTGTATACTTCCCTTAAATATGAAAAAACAAGCCTGACAATGATTTTTATGTGTAATCACAATATTTTATACCTATCTTTATTAAGCAGAAAAAATTTGTACACATAAGTCCTAAACCCAAAGGAGTCTTCTTCCAGCTCTTGTTTCAGACCAACAGATGTGGGTTGTCCCAGGGGCCATGTACTTCCAGCTGTGGGCTCTAGGCCAGGACAGAGAGCCACTGTGCTGCTCTGTTTCCCTGCACTTGAAGGCGCCTAAGAGGCAGGAAAGGCACAGTCTTTGATAAAGTGCTCTTTTCTTTCTTTCTTTCTTTTTTTTTTTTTCTCTTTCTTCATTTGAAGTTTTATGAAAGTTTGATAATCTTGCCTTAAACTGAAGTATTTTAGGATTCTAATAATGTGGCATTTAAGAAAGAAAATACTCACTTTTGATAAACTTTAGATGAGAAAGGATTGAAGCCCCACTCTGATATTGTAGTTTTACTCACATACTGTTTTACTAGCAGTACAAATATGAATGACTATAACTGGTTGCATCTAAAAGAACCAAATACTTTAATTAGGATAATGATAAAGATGTATAATATTTTTAATACATTAAATATGTTTCTGTGGGTTGAATGTGACTTCATAACTGTACTATGATTGTATTATTTCTGGAATAAAGGATATGAGCTCACTGTTGTTTGCTGTTGTCTGCATCTCACTCAGGAATGCGTTAAGAGTAGTAATCCTGCATTTTAGCTTATGGAGAAATTAGAACCCTTATACACTGCTTGTTAGAAATGTAAACAGCTGTTACAGAAAACAGAGTTTCTTAAAATGTTCAATGTTGAGTCTGGGTGTGGTGGTGTGCCCCTGTAATTCCAGCGCTGGGGAGGCTGAAAACAGGAGAATAACTCCGAGTTTGAGCTGCATAGTGAGACCCTGAACAAGGGGGAAAAATGTTCCCTGTAGGGTTACCCTATGATGTCACGGATCCAGCATTTCTAGTCCTAGGAACTAAACTCAGGTACTCCAGTACTATTAACTGCCGTGTTCTGAGCAGCATTTATTCATAACATCCACAATAAAAATGTCCAGGGCTGGGGAGATAGCTCAACAGTTTAAGCCCCTGCCTGGCAAGTGCAAGGATCCGGGTTCCATCCCCAGTACGTACCACATGCTATGTGGAGCCTTGGAACCCCAGGTGTGCTGAGCTGGCCACCGAGACTAGGCACAGTGGCACACACCTGTAATCCCAGCGCCGGGAAGGTTGAAAACAAGGATCACTATGAGTCTGAGCTGCTTAGTGAGACCCAGTACCAAATACATTAAAACAAAACAGGTACTTATGTTCACAGTAACTGTTCTCAACATATAGTACAGTTGTGCCCCCTTGTCTTTAATAAAACATCAGTTTTCTATTTAAAAAGATGACATCCCTAGCGTGCTGTGCCAACCCTGCCCACGGGGTGTGCTGAGACAGTAATGGAGACAACATGGTGGCACGTGCCTGTAAGTCCAGCGCTCTGGAAGGCTGAAAACAAGGATCATTTACCAGTCCAATCTACATAGACCCTGTCCTAAATACATAAACTTTTTTTTAAATGTCAATATACTGTAATCCTGGCACTCAAGAGGCTGAGGCAGGACTACTGCCATGAATTCATTGCCAGCCTGAACTACATAACAAGATCCTATCTCAAAAACCATTCCTTTCGGCTGGAACCGTCTTCCAGTAATTTGCCAAAATGACTAATACAAAGGGCAAGAGGAGGAGAACCCGGTATATGTTTTCCAGGCCTTTTAGAAAACATGGGGTTGTTTGTTTGGCTACATACATGCGAATCTACAAAAAGGGTGATATTGTAGACATCAAGGGAATGGGTACTGTGCAAAAAGGAATGCCTCACAAATGTTACCATGGCAAAAC